GCGTAATATTGTGTACTAGTAGTCATTTCTCTTCATCACTTCGTCCTATTGTTGTTACAGCCCTTGAACAGCGGAATGTCACTGATTTGAGTATATACGCTGCTGTCGATCTATCCATCTCGATTTGAGTCGATACATCATGAGGTGCCGAAAAACTTCGATCCGGGCCTGTCTACCCAACGCTTGCAGGGCTTCTATCAGCGAGTACCCCAGCGCTGGCCATTGCCCAACATACCCGCCGCTCGCACGACAATGAGTTAGCGCACCATGGGAAGCTGTAGGGATTTTGTAAGATCCTGTGTGTCAGCTGGCAAAGAGGCGAGCGAAGCTCGCCGACCCAACGCGGATGGTAATAGGCGGAGGATGAACGCGACGAACGGCGCAGCGCTGCGCAGCTGCGCTTCGCGTCGGGCTTGCCTCGGGGATCGTTCCCGTGCCCGAGTCGCGCCTGGAGCGCGGCGTCGAGCTTCCCTATCGCGAACCAACGGTTCGATGGACTCGATACTGTAGAACATATATATTAAGAGGCTGTACATAGGATGACTGTACTGGTTTACTGCGGATTCGTAAGCTACGAGTATATAAGGACAGAGCTCGAAGGACTCGTTTCGGAGACGATACACAGAGAACACGAACACATTGTACACTACGTAGAGTAGCTAGTACAATAGACGCCATCACAAGGGCATTGAGTCGAAGCTGACCGTCGGAAACCCAACAAGCGGTAACGCGGATAGCCGCAAGCATGAATCTGATAGATGGTGGTACAATTTCATGATCGAAAGACCCAGACCTACAGCTCTACGACATACGGTATCTGAACAAGCGGTATCGCACGCGACGGGTAAAACACGGTATCGAGATGCAGGCAGGAAATGAGGAAACAAGAGCGAGGTGGGATGGGAGGGATATACTGAACGAGATTGAGTCGATGACGAATGGGAAATGACGAGAACATGTGCATATGCATGGAGATAACTGTGTCCGTACCATGGAATGAGCATGCAGACTACTAGAGGAGAGATGGAGAGATGGAGAGGAGAGGGTTGAAAGGTGTCCGAGTTCCTATATACGGTATCCGAGTCGATGGATGGGGTATTAACATGCTGAGAGAGGGGGTAACCTACAAACCGTGAAGTGGTGACAGTCCAAACACAAAGGGGGTGATGGTAGAAAAGAAAATGTAGCAGAAAACTGGAACGAGACGGCGTAGTACGAGTACAGTGGGGATAAGGATAGCCAGAAGAGAACAACGCGCACGGGAGCCACCAAGAGGGGTGCATACAGGAGGAGCGGATCGAAGCATGGAACCGAACGATGCAATGCACGCAAGGCTGCCGGGAAGAGTTCACTGAACGATACAATTCGAATCACTCCTACTCCCCGGCGTCCTCCTCAACCTCCTCGCCTGCGTATGGCTCATCGCTCCCGGCATCGCCCCCTGCCCCTGCCCCTGCCCCTGCCCCCCCAC